CCCAGGAGTTGGAGGTTGCTGTGAGCTGTGATGCCACAGCACTCTACCCAGGATGACAGCTTGAGGCTCTGTCTCAAAAAAAAAAATTATTTTGGAGAGCATTTCATGGCAAATAAATGCTCAGTGGTTAGGGTGCTGGCCACATATACCAGAGCAGGATAGTTCGAACCCGATCCAGGCCAGCTAAACAACAATGACAACTGCAACGACAACAACAATAACAACAATAGCTGGGTGTTGTGGTGGGCACCTGTAGTCCCAGTTACTTGGGAGGCTAAGATAAGAGACTCAGTGGTAGAAAAAAGTTCAAGGAAATTATGATATTGCCACTTGATGGAATATGATATAACCCATGAAATGGTAAGTATGAAGACTAAAGCTGTATGAAAAACTGTTTGTAATACTATGATAAGTGAAAAAGAAGCCAATGGATCATTAAAGAGTACCTTGTCTACTTTAAATTTAAAATTCCTGTGTATAAGCAGGAAAAAGGAAAAATTCATCATAAACATAATTTAAAGGCAGACAACAGAATTGGTATTTACAACATAGTATGATATATTGCTGCATTTTACAGAGTATTAATGAAGCATACTATAGCTCACTCCCAACTGTTGACCTATAAATAAACCCTTGCTAGTCATTAAGAAAAAAAATTTATCAGTATCAACTCTGGTGTTCTAAAAGAGAAAGCGTTTAACCATATATAATAACAGCCTTTAAAAATGTTTTATTTTGGCTGGGCATAGTGGCTCACACCTGTAATCCTAGCATTCTGGGAGCCAGAAGTAGGTAGCTTGCTGGAGCTCAGAAGTTTGAGACCAGGCTGAGCAAAAAGGAGACGCTGTCTCTACTGAAAAAAAAAAAAAAAGCCTAGCTGGGCACTGTGGCAGGTGCTTGTAGTCCCAGCTACTGGGGAGGCTGAGGCAAGAGAATTACTTGAACCCAAGAGTTTGATGTTGCTCTTAGCTAAACTGAGTTTGAGTTTACTGTGACCTGTGACGCCATGGCACTCTACCCAGGGTAACAGAGTAAGACTCTGTCTTAACAAAAAATAGATTTAGAAATTTTGTTACAATAAACAATTAGACACATGAAAATTTATTACGGGGATATAAATAAACATCATAGTTTATTTTAAAATGGCAGAATTTTTTTTTTTTTTTTTTTTTTGAG